TAATAAAATATATCTTTCAAACGTTCTTCTTATACGGGGTGCCCCCCGACTCGTCGCCTAAAAAACAAACGTGTTTGTTTTCAGTTTCAGACGATCGAGTCGGGCGATCGGCCCGATCCAACCATAGTGGGCACCCCGTATAAGGAACACAAAGACAGGTGGCAGAAACGATCCATTTGCAGAAACGACACAACATTAAAAAAAAATGATGACAAGTTCACCACGCTCCTGTGAGGTGATCTTCCCAACCTGTTTCTGCCATTTGTGAGCGACCACTAACGGGATGGGTTGGTTTGGGGGGGGGGGCACTGCATAGATTTGCATCCTGATTTATCTAGGTTATATACCGTGAAGGCTGATACTTCGGTAGCTGCCACAACAACAAGAAATTGGAAAGACCTAGCTGCATTCTCTCGGGTAAAGACCAACGCTTTTCCTCTTGTCCTGCGTCTGTGCTGAGATCAAGGAGATTAAAAGTAAACTAAGTTCTAAACTCCTTGGCTGAGATGCGAATCTTATCAGCAACCGATTACGTCGGACGTTCCGGGCAGGCCGCACAATGGTATTCAAAACTATAAAATAAGCTTTTTTTAAATTAGGTAGTATCATTTCATACAAAATCAAGGTCATTTGAAAGATTTTGTATAGAAAAACGGAAGTCTTGTTTCCTGACTATCCTTTCGAGCTCCTCATGTCTAAGTGGGTCAATTTCTTCTATAATTTCAGTGGATGAACATCTAGAGCTACCAACTTGGCGTGTTTTGAATGAGACGTATGCCTCGATTACGAACCAACGCTGGCGGTTATAGAAAAAGGCCACAAACGCACACAACTCAAGCAGACTGACGCACATACTTGACCTGCGTGAATGGGGATCACAGAATTCTGTGATGGGGATCCGACTTGGGACCCGAATTTCACGTAAGATGATTCGCGGTGCGCGTGCGCTGAACCAGGGGCTACTGTGTACTGATTCGTGATTCGAGACCAGAACGTAGGCGAGGTGCCGAAATAAGCTTATCGGGCGACATAAACCCGGCCCCCGCAGGACGAGGTTAACTAATTGTCGCCTCAAGAGAGCGCAGAGACAAATCTGTGTGCCTTAGCAAAAAGTGGTCCAATAACTCCTCATTACCAGTCTCTGTGTTTCATTCCAAAGCTCTGGACCTTCCACAATTTTCTATACTGCCGTTTCATGGGCTAACGTACGAGTCTTAAACAAGATTTTTTCGAAAACCCAGGAAAGTGGTAGTAGAAATCTAGAACTACATAGCAGGCCAAAATGTTACCGGCTGCCGGGGCTCTCGTGGCCTAGAGGTTAAAGTGTTGGCCTCTCATTCAAAGGTCCCGGGTTCGAATCCGGGTAGCGACCGAAAAAATGTCTTCTCTAAAATTGTCTCCTTTCACCTCCTTTCCTGTTCTCTAGCAATGTTCTTTTGTCTGCTTTCATTTCCACTTTCTGCCCCCACCCCCGCACCTCCTTTGCCCCCTCCTCTGGGTTCTTGACTCTTTTTGCAGCCTTTTACTGCTACTCCTTGGCTCTTCCTTACTGCTGTCTTTCTGCCACACCCCTGATCTTCTGGTAGGAAAGATCTACACCTAGCCTTCTCGGACAAGGGCAAAAAAATCTCGGAGGGCCCGTGTGTAAGTTGCGCACGTTAAAGATCCCTTGGTGGTCAAAAATCGATAGAGTAGGCTTCGGCTGCCACCCGGGTAAAATTAAAAATGTCCCACCATCTGAAAATATTAGGTGTGTCCCGCGCGCTCATATGACCTTATGCAGTTGCGAGCGCCGTTAAACACTTTACAAAACAAAAACATATCGGCTGCCTACTAACATGAGAACCAAATTATACTTTTATTGCACCCAGTTCCATTCCGATGTGATAATTCTGCACTGGATAAGTTGATATTTTTGCTACAGGAAAACTGGGACACTAGCGGGGTTAAGTGGGACACTGTGTTGCATTTCTCCTGACCATGGGTAGACACTAAGTTTGGTTCTGCATTTTCCGTAATTAGATAGTACTCCGTCTGTCCCACATGATTGTCTTATAGAGTTGCTCTATGACTTAATAAAAACATTCTCACCTTCAGCTGAAATTCAACACATTCGATACAGAGAGACAGAAACTGGTTTTGAAAAAAGTTAGCAAAACTGGGCGGTCTTTGGAACTTGAAAACGGAAATAGAAAGTTGAAGGGGTGTAACAGCTAACAACGGGCATAGTGATAAGTAGTATATTTATTACGGTCCGATCAATTTTTGTCCTATAAAAATATTTGTTCTATATTATGTTTCGGGCCCGTCCCAGTTTACCTGCGTTCCAATTCCCCCCACTCTCCGCGACATAGTACACATTTTACACTTACCAACAACATCCTCGCCTGACTTTTACTTTTTGATGTCTGCATTGATATTGCACTACAATGGAAATGTCTTACCTATTTTGTCCTCTTAAAATATTTACGATGATTGTAGCTCGATCAGACGCCACATTTAACGCGTTAAGTAAACGGGCTGGAAAAAAGGATAAAAACACTGCACTGGAGAATAGGGTGCTCAAGCAAATCAAAAGGGGATTGAATATTGATACTTTACGCCTCAACAGAGATGCTTTTTGCAAGTATTTTAATTAGCTGAGACAGCAGCAGAGGGAAAGAGAGAGGGGAGCAAGCGAGAGAGATGTGTGTGTGGGGGTGGGGGGGGGTAGAAAAAGAGTGATAATTAATTATTGAAGAAAGAACAAAGGAAACAGATGCATAGATAATAGTGAAAGACAAAATCAATGAAGTACTAATGCAATAATTGCCATAGACACGCCCGCCCCCCTCTCCCCCGCACACATATAAATACACAAAGAGATAGACAGAGCGAAAAAAGATGGCTAAGCAAATTCAAAGAGATAAAGAAAGAAATAATAGATATTATTATTCTTTTAAAATTCCAATGCCAGGACTGACTGGTGGACACTATGTGGACAATTATTTAAGTGCCAATAATCTGTGTCAATGTACAGAGAACGTTGCGTGACAGATTAACTTATGGGAACCAGGTAGCAAGACACGGACCACCCATTTGAAGGGCACATGGGAAAAACAAGTGTTGTCAATTTCTACAATTTCCACGGTATATCTTCTTTTCCAAGCCTGTCAGGTTTTGACCAACCCACGACACAGCTCAAACTGTCCGAAAACTGACATCTCCTATTTCTCCCTTGTGCTCTTCACTTGTCAATAGCCTTTTGTCTTGATAGACGATTTTTTTCAAGCAGTTTAATACTTGATGCAGCTTTGCCTAAGAGGAGCACACAGAGGCAGTAAATGTCCAAGTACTACGTAACTACACTCCCTTCAGAGCTTGACTTACGAGATATATATAAGCTCCAAGGGAGACACATCGTCAATACATTTGGAATCACTTAAGGTGTGCTGGTGTGTCTTATTATTTTACAGATGTGATAGAAAAATGCTTTTAGGGTACACAATTTTGAATTTTGAATTTTTTTGCAAACGGCAGCACATGGAGATCGTTTGTTTGTCAGATTGTTAGTTTGTTCTGACTGTAGGGGTATCATTGTGAGGCCCCGATTCTAAAATAATATAAAGTATAACACAATGACGTTCTGTTTTTAATTGGAAAACAAAGGTAATTAAATTAAATGTAAATGTAATAAATATTATTTTGTGTTGTGTATCACATGGTATATGAAAGATACATCGTAATAATAGGATTAAAAACACGCACCCGCGCGCGCGCGCACACACACACACACACACACACACACACACACACACAGAGAGAGAGAGAGAGAGAGAGAGAGAGAGAGAGAGAGAGAGAGAGAGAGACGTCTAGCTAAAGAATGGAATATAAAAAAAACCCTCGTGACAAGCAGTTCACGTCTAAACTGCATACACAGGGTTAAAGCGGTCTCATGATGAGCAAATGATCGATCTATCTTAAATTTCTTCTACGATTATCGGCTGAAAGTTGTAGATTCGTTTCCCTGATATCATCAGGTGTTCGTGGGTGTGATATGATACAGAGGCGAGTTCTGTGTTTAGTGATAAAACGTAGATACATCCGTCATCCTTTAACACTGTCAAGCCTCATCAATGAGGTGACAATATCGCGTGACAGATTAGACGATAGAAAGAGCCACGAAGCGAGACACTCACCGTCCTACAAATATATTTTAAGTCAGATTTGGAATTGAAAATACTTGTTTTATTTTGTCATGTCATTTACGTATAAATCCACACTTAAATTTTTTTTTTTAAAACAACATAAAATAAAATAAAATAAAATAAAACGGAAAAAGAACAATGTTTTATTCTAAATAGTTGTTCTATTTTGTCATGCCTATTATCCCATAAATTCACACTTTAAAAAAACACAAACAAAAACCCACAAAAACCCCCGGAAAGTGGCAATAGTGTTTTATTCTTACATAGTTATATTATTACTACGTAACGGGGTCTTCAGAAAAGCCTCAACTGTGTACATTCGAACCTTATCTAGGGGCCACTTGTCCAAAATAACCAGCTGTACAAATGACCACTTCGTCACTTGCGTTTTTTCCTTAACTTTCAGGACACTGCTCAGTACGTGCACTTGTCTCAGACAATTACGTTTTCCTTCTTCAGTGGGTGGCTGTCTTGGACAATTCTGAAAAGTGCTGGAAGACTGTTATAATTTAAATAAAATGAGGAGGATACACAAAATAATATTAAAGGCTGGGTATTGCAGGGTTCAGGACATGGGATATGGGAAAAAGTAACAGGGACTTGAGAGGGGAGGGTTTTTTTTTTTTTTTCATTTTAAGTGTAAACATATGTTCATTTCCCTCAACCTCTCTAAGCGGTTGTCCCAGTTGCGGATGTTTTAAATAATTGGGGAGGGGGGGGGGGGTTGGCCTAAATCATTTTTTTCTTTTTGACGCTGATTCAGCTGTTCGTAACCATGTGCTGACATATGCCATTGACTCATAGATAGAAAGAATGATTAAACTATGATAGGCTTATACTATTTCTGATATCTTTTGGGCTACCAAAGTAATGTGCGAATGTATTGTTCGATCATCGTAATCGAGTCACAAAGGTTAAAGTATAAGAGAGGAGAGTGCAGGCGGGGACAGCAGAGAGGTCTCTGCACTCACAACAAGCAAGTCGGATAAACAGACGTTCACCTGGACCATCAGGATGAAGAGCCTACAAGTTCTACTGGTCGTAGCAGCGGCATGCTTGGCTATCTGTGCAGCTGAACTCAAGAGGTATACATTTGAATATAGATCTAGTTTTTATATATTATATCATAACTTTTACGCCCATTGAAGCAAAATCAGACAACATCTGGGGAGCTCTTTATATTTGGTATTTGTCTTATTCTCTATCGTCTCATCACTTCTCGTTCCTCACAAATAATCATGCAGGTGTCGGTGTTTATTTGGGGTTATAACTGGGTTGTTGTTTTTTAAAACTTAGTTTGACTTTACCACCTCTATGCTCAAAATAAAATACCATAAGGTGAACGCTTTCCCCAGCAGACGAGTGGAAAAGGCAAACATCCAAAGGTTAAAAAAGACGAAGTTGAACTAGTCGAGGAAACATCATAGTAACCCCCCCACCCAAACATTATTTGAAGTGCGACGAGGTTGGGTATTTTCTTGTTGTTGTTTTTTTTCTTGAGGGAGGGGGGAGGGGGAGGCTTGAATTGTCCAGTATCATATAAAGTTGTGTTCGTTGTAAGTGGGACAGACACAACTGTCCTATTAGAGCAAAGTAATCAAACCTGCTTTTTAAAAGATAAGGTTGTGAAAAAGCCGTCGACATAAGTACCTACATACGTTTTCTATGGATTAAACCATAGTGTCTTCCCAAAAGTCAAGATTGCTTGATAGGACATGAAGTAAAAAAGGGGCAGTAGGGGTCTTGGGCGGAAATGCTCAATTTGCAAAATGGCCAAAGTGTATCCAGAACGTTTTTCGAATGAAAACAACACACACTGGGTTACCCAATCCTGGCCTGGCCATCTACAACAACAACAAAAAACGTCTTTCAGCCCCCCCCCCCCCCTTTCCCTCAAACAAAAAACAAAAAATAAAAAATAACTAAATCTTTAAAGAGTCAGCACAGACGCTATTTATAATTGTTCGGTACACGGGCAAGAGAATCTTTTTTGAAAATTGAAATAAGGTATTAAAATTTCAAAGTACATTTGTGCAGTGGTATCAGCCTGGTAAAACTCTGATTTCCATCTCTGATGAATGAGACTAAAGCTTGTGTAAAAATCGAACATTTATGTACTTTTCTCAAACTTTTTGGGTTTTATTTGTTCTTGACTATGAATTTTTTACTGCTGTCCAGCTCGTTGAAGATGGACTTTACTTTGTAATACATTATACCACTGTTTTATCAATACTTTGTGTCAATGTTTTACAAAAAAACGTGAGTGTCGTCTTTATCTCTTCCCCCTCTCTTCGTTTATGTTGCTCTCTAGTCACACCTTTCTAATCATCGGCACTTTTATGAGCTATTTATATTTCAACCTGCGTACACCTCTAAAAAAACCTTTAACTAAAAAAAAATAAAAAATAAATGATATAACTCAGTCCCCCATCCTTCCTCTCATTTCTACCTTTGTCATTACCCATAAACAGACGTTCACCTGGACCATCAGGATGAAGAGCCTACAAGTTCTACTGGTCGTAGCAGCGGCATGCTTGGCTATCTGTGCAGCTGAACTCAAGAGGTATACATT